TCTCTCTGACCCTCCCCTGCTCACGCTGTCTCTCTCTCTCTCCTAAAAATAAATAAGACATAAAAAAAAAAAAACTAATTGGATGTTGTGCATTGGGCTAGGGTTTAACTTTGGGGTTCACTATTAAGTGATCTGTCATTTTATTGAGGAACACTTTGATACTCCCCCTCTCCCTGCAGCCCCCAGGCCTTCCCTAAGCCTGTCAGATTCACCAGAGGTCTTTGTCCACTCTTACCGGAAGGGTTAAAAAACAACAAAACCTTACTGCCAATGTTTGGGAATCCCAGTGAGGGAAGACAGCTGAGGGTTCTGAACAAGTAAAGTACTTTTTTTTCTTCACTCTATACCTATTGAGTACAAAGGTACTTTTCTTGCCTACTGTTTTCTGCCAGGAATGTGGGGTTCTGTTCATCAATACAGAGAAATTGGGGGTTTAACTGTCAAAACAGACTTTGAACCAATCTCTTAGTCCTTTTACCTCTGTTTTTAAAGGTACCTGAGGTGTCAGTTGCTAAGCCTTTGTTGGGGGTTCTATGGTACAGTCTGGGATATCCTCATTGCTAATCGCCTGTTTGGTTTTCTTGTCTGTCGAGTCTGTTACCACTTGATCATAAGCTTTGCAGTTTCCAAAATTTTGTTGCTGTTGTCTCCTTTCCCATTCTTTGTCCTCAAAGTTTTTAAGTGTTGTCTCTCCCCCTTTAAAATACCAGGTTTTAATAGGATTCCAGAAGGGAATAGAAGTGATAGGGTCTTATTTTTGAGCAGCCTTTCTTATTTGCATGGGGGTGGTTGGTGATGGAAGATTTGGGAGAACATACAGGGACAGGTAAATTAAAATCTAGATAGTATTCTAGAATGATACTTTCCAGGATTTGGCCAATAAGTTTCATAAGTAGTTTGCTAGTTTATTACAGAACCAATCTCTATTAATGGACAATTTTTGGTAGCTTTTATTTCATTCTCCACCAGTTTTTTAGACTGATTAGTAGAACTATCAATCTCACTTCAAGTAATGTGTGAGCTTTCTTGGTCTGCTGGCCTAGTTCAAGTTTTGATACCTTTGGTTTACTAGGTATGTGCTACCAGGTGAGTTATAATCTCTCTTGGAGTTTGGGCTTGTCTTTTATTCCCTTAACCTTCAGGGAGTTTTTATAAGGTTACAGATTTTGTTACGCATTACTCTTTGCAAACTGGGATGGCAGTTGCTTCACTGATGTGCACGAGTTAGAATACATTATGGGGGACATCTGTCCAGGTGTCCTTCATGCTGAGGTTATTTTGATAGGTGGTTTGATTAACATTAGGATCCAAATTCAAGGCCTTTGCATTCTTTATGGTTAGTTTGTTTGTTTTTGCTGCTTGGAAAAGTTAATTTGAAATCGTTATCTTGTACTTTAAAAGTACTTTATGACGAGGTATTGGGAATTTCAAAAATCAGAACTGAACCACTATCTACCATAGCAAATTTAGGTTTTCTCAAATGTATAATTTTATTTTGCTTGGGGTTAGATTAACCTGAAATGTCAAAACCTAGATCCATGCATAATACTGACACATCTCAGTAAATTTCTTTGGGAGCAGTTTACTTATTAGTATAATTTATCAGTACTCTTAACATTTAAGCATGACTCCAAATTCATAAAAACTAATTTTTACTATCTACTTTGGGCAAGCTGAGAGTGCATTCTTTATCCTTTCTTCACTGCTGGCCATATTGAAGAGTCTTACCTCAAAATTTCCATGGATAAAATAATTTTGGCAAGATGAATATCCAGTTGTGCGAACTTGAGTCTGCCTGGCCTGCTAATTGCTGTCAGTTGCCTATAATCTGGTAAATTGGAGATGGATTGGTTATAATCATTTCAGAGAGGCTTGAGCCCATTTACATTAGAATAAATCAGAATTGTTTGGGGGTGTTGTCTGGGAACTTGAATTTCACCTCCCCTCACCCTAGTGATGTTTGCTACTCTAAAGTTTTAGGTATTGTTTTAAGATGTTAAATAGGCTGTAAAGGTTTTTTGTTTTTACTTTTATCTCGGGTGAAGACAAAGGTGCATGTTCAATAAACTTTAATGTTACTCAAGTATTCTAATCATGGACCCCTAAGTCTAGCTTGAAAAAAAATCAAAGACTTTGTTTGCATTCTAATGAGTGTACAAGATGACAGTGAGCAATAGTGTACCAATTGGGAAAAGAGATGTGGAAGTAGCAGTAGGCTGGGAACATGGGGAGTTGGTTTTATGACTTTTAAATTATAGGCAGTACACTTTCCTTGCCTGCATATTGCCCCACTTTAGTTTGTCACTGTCACTCATCCATTCCATTATGAAGTAGTAATTAGTAGCTGAACTTGACCTGCCATAGTTTTGGGTTGGGCTAGTTACATACTGTCCCACTGTCCTTCGCATCTTTTAGATTCTCCAGTAATTCCAGCAGCCTCCCATTTTGAATGGCTGTAGTACAGTGTAGCCTTAGGTAACAACTGGTATTCAAGGGACTAAGCAATTTAGGAAGACAGCAGTGGGTAACTGCTAAGTTAATTTTCCCCAGTAAGCCCTGTAAATTTGGGGGGACAGAAGGGTGCTCTAAGGGCATGAAAAAAGGACCTTGCAAAATTATTGTACTCCTTTTAAAAAGGTGATGCTTCATAGGAATTAGATCCTGAGTAAGAGCAAGGTGTTCAAGGCAGTTATTTTAGTTGTCAGGAGTCCTTTAAATTTAGTCTTCAGAGAAAGTTCAGATAGGCGTTAGGGGAGGCGCTAATTCATTAAACAATGATAGAAGTTATTGAATTCTATTTTGAGAAACTTAAGTTACTTGATAGGAAGATTGTTTACTTCAAGGTTAATTGGTATACAATTTATTTTGTAATTGGATAGGCTATATTCTGTTTGCACTTGAGAAGTTAAATGCAAGGTTACTTTTCCTGGCTCTTTTATTTCTCTGAAAAATAAAATACTGGAAGCAACTTAAGAGGTCTGTTAATGTCAGTACCTGAAAGTGACATTTAATATTTCATGGAAGCTATGCTTTGAATAAATACTTGAGAAAAGGAATGATATAATTGCCCTTTTTTGTTGTATGGATGGCCTTGGATTACACAAGGCTTAATCACACTTTTATAAAACATTTGCCAATCACTGAAGTAGAACCTTTTTAAAATAAAAATTGAAAGATGGCTCTGATTATTACAGTGTAGTTTAAAAACTGGCTAAGGCAATAAAGAAAACTTTAAAATGCTCAGAAATTTGTTGTACATTGCTTCTACAATCATTGATATATAAAGCATGCTACTACTAGTCAACTAGTTTTATGTATTAAGACCTATCAGCATGTCTTTTTTTTTTTTTTTAAGTACCTGGTTGACTTGATTTTAAACTAACATGATGTTCTCTGTACCATTTAACATTTTCAAAACCTATTCTCCCCCAGCAAATTCTGTTAGAACCAAGTGTTTCCATTTCTAGAAGCCTACTTTTAGAGTTCATATTAAGTTTATAGTGGGCTTTAGTGGGGTTTTAATTTGCACTAAATTTTCTTTTCTGAAAGATTACTTCTGTTCAAATTATAATGTAGTGCTTTTGTCTTACAATTAAACTCTTACAGCACTCATGTATTTTTTGCACTGTCTTTTTCTTTTTCTTTTTCTTTTTTTTTTTTTTTTTAAATTTAAGCTTTCCCTTCTTGGATGTATACTTTGAAATAACAGGTCTTATTTTCTTAGTTGAAAAGGTAAGAACTATATCATGTTTAAAATGTCAGCAACTTTAAATGGGATTCTTTTGAAAGATTATGCAACATGGTCAAATAGTTTTTAAATGTGAAGAGTCACAATTCAATGGGAGAAAAAAGAGTAATTTCCTATTTTCTCCAGAATGTTCATGAGGAAGCATAGTGAGAGAAGGAAGATCCCATTTGGGAATGTTCAGTTTCTGGCCTCTACTGGGTTTGCTGTCAAATGTGGTGAGACCACTAAAAGTGCTGGTAGGCATCTGTTATGTATGCAGACTGGTAAATATTTCTCAGAGGATGGCAAATTGAATTAGACGTGTAAAGTCACACTGGTGTTTGCCAAGGTACCCCTACTCAGTGTGAAGACAGAGGAACCCTAACATAACATTGTTCCACTATTCCATTTCCTATGTTTGTGTTCCTTGAGAACTCTGAGGCATTTGGGTCATTCCTAGTGCTGTCCTGCCATGAGAGAGGCTAACATGGCAGGTCGTGGTGTGGTGCTGAGAAGGTCTTATGCTCTCCCACAAACGATCTCTCTGACCAGTTTGTGATTTGCCTTTTTGTTAAAAAAAAAAAAAAAATCAGGCCAAATTAAATAATGGGTTCTGTTTTTTTAGGTTCTGCCACAATTCTATAATGAGAATATGAACTTTGTTTTTTTAGAAGTCTCTCCTACATATTTATTTGGGGGGGAGGGGCAGAGAGAATGAGAATCTCAAGCAGGTTCCACGTTGCCAGCACAGAGCCTGACCTGGGGCTCCATCTCACTATTTCAAGACCAGGACCTGAGCCAATATCACGGGTCAGATGATAGGTGTGCCTGGGTGGCTCAGTCGATTGAGCATCCTGCTCAGGTCATGATCTAGCAGCGGTTTGTGGGTTCAAGCCCTGTGTCCTGCTCTGTGCTGACAGCTCAGAGCCTGGACCCTGCTTCAGATTCTGGGTCTCCCTCTCTCTGCCCCTCCCCTGCTTGCGTTCTGGCTCTCAAAAATAAACAAAAAGATGCTTAACTGAGCCACCCAGATGCCCCAAGAATATGTACTTTTAAAAGTTAAATAATCCTTTTCAGTTTTATTAAAATGTGTAAGATATTCTGTCTAGCAGACTTAGAACAGTTTCTAGTTTAATACATAATACATTAAATGGAATAGATTTTTAAGAATGAATGTTTCTGAGGTCTAGCTCTGTCATTTGCCCTGTGATGTTCGACAAATAAAATTTAACTTCTCTAAGCATCAGTTTTCCAATAGAAAATTCTATCTTTCAGCCTCCTGGCGCTTACCACAAGCTATGTTCTTACACTGACTGTACAGAAAGAGGAAGCAGAGTATAAATCCACCCATATACACCCCAGCCTAGGTGCTTTGCCTGGTCTGTATTGTGAATGGGGGGACATGGAGAAAAGAAAAAAAAAAGAAAATTCTATCTTTCTCAGATATGGATGTTTGATGATAGGCATGTGAATGTGCTTCAGGGTTAGTAGTTCTCAACTTTATCGTAAGGTTAAGCATACACTTTGATGCCCTATCCCAGCCTTAAGTAGAATCTTTAGGGGGTAGAGCCTAGGCATCTGTATTATTAAGATCCCCAAGTCTGATGATTGAGAGTTGAAAACCAAAGCTTTGTATTTATTGCTATGACCATGTTTAAGAGCTATGGAAATCACACACATGATTAGGTATCAAAGGTATCAACTGTTAACTCCTGTATGTGCTAGGCAGTCTGAATACAAAGAGTATAATGTGGCCAGGCTTGTGGGGAGTAGATACACATAGCTGTCTACCAAGATGGGACGAGAGCCTTTTCAGAGTTTGCCTGGACATCTGCTAGGGTGACTGTGGGCTTCCCTGGCTATGAACCTTCAGATTTGGTGTAGAAGTCCCTTGAGTTTGGTGAGTAATTTGAGATGAGCAGAAATTAGGCTAAGAAAGTTCTGGATTACAGAATAGTGTGAAAGCCCTTATAGATAAGAAATAAGGTCAAGAAAGCATTTTTTGTGGGGAATGGGGGAAGAATACAAAGCTGGGTTTTTGGATTTAAAATTTAAGGTGTTATGCATGATATCCAAGTGGGTGTATCCAGTAGAGAGTTGGAAAATGGTTTGTAATTCAGAAGAAAGGTTACTTGCTGGAGAAGGCAAGGCCATGGGAGTAAATAAAAGCACCCTAGAGAGTGTGGGAACCAAAGGCTGAGCACTGTTGCAGGCCATTTGATGAATGAGTGCACGATGGACTCCAAGGCCTACTCTGCCTTCTGTACTGCCCAAAGCAAGCAATGCCTTGCTGATTCTCTTTCCTCTTACTAGCCTAGTGGAGTCAGGCAAGTGACATAGCTTGTCCTTCAGTTTTCTTATCTGTAAAATGGAAATAATAGTCCCCACTCAGGGTTGTGAGGATTAAAAAAGAATCTCTAAAGTACTTAAACAGCTACTGGTACATAGTAAGTGTTTAATACTTAACTGTTACTGTTGACTCCCTTGACCTGTTGACATAAATTCTTTTTTTTTTTTTTTTTTTTTTTCCTTTTTAGGTAGGCTTCACGCCCAGTGTGGAATCCAACCTTGAACTTACAACCCAGAGCTGAGATCAGGAGTTGGATACTTAACCGACTGAGCCACCCAGGCACCCCAAGATAAATTCAATTTCTAATAAGATCCAATTACCAACCCCACTTACAACCCACAAAATCTCCCTCGGACTGTAGCTGGTGTTGATCATTAGCTTTCTTGACTTCATTCTCTGCTGCACAATGTGCGACTTAAGTAGATGTTGTTTTCATGTGCTTATGACTTTTTCAGTCTTGCTACCTCAACTGGAATGTAAGCTTCCATTGGGATTAGGACCATTTCTTACACTTATTTATATAGCCACTAATTTCTCAAACATCCATTATCTCTATTTGGTAACTTACAATATATCCTGATGTTTAGAACCATTTTGGTGCAGAGTAGGAGCTCAAAAATGTTTGAATGCATAAATCAATGAAAAGCATTGCCTTAATATTTGTTTCTGTATACTCAGGTATTTTCTGACAGATGTAGCATTAATAGCAGATAAACACTCCTTACTAAACGAGGGCTTTTCTTCCTAACCCTTAAGCTCTAAGGCTGCTGGGAAAACTAGCGTTATGTGGGACTTCTCGCCTGGGACCAGGGCAATAGCCTGTGTCTTTTTTGTGCTGCAAGTGGAGAGGAGCTTGTCACAACATGTTCTTCATTTTTAGGCTCCTGGGTCTTGACGTCCTAATACGTAAAATTGGGGAGGGGGTAGCTTAGATGATCTTTAAGTTCATGTCTTCCAGCAATCCATATACTAGTATTTACTGGCAATCTGGAAACAAATATATTGTTTTATTCATAATTATGTTACAGGAATGTTAGGAGACACATTATATAGACTTTAAAACTAATAGCAAAATACATGGCAATTCCTTTTCTCACAGGGTACTCCTCTTTAAATTCCTGTCTCCATTCCCTCCTCAAAACAATCTACCAATCTACAAAAAGCAAAAATACTCATGTGTCTTATCTGGCCCACAGTTAAGGAGTCAGATAATATACTCTGAGTTAAAAATACAGATTTCATATATACAACAGCCAGGACTTAATCAGTAAAATCTCAGCTTTCTATGTGTGTGGCCTTGAACATATAATTTAACTTGGCTATTTTCTTATCTGCAAAGTAAAGATAATACGAATAAACATTTACACAGCACTTACATGCCAGCCACTGCTCTGTGTGCCTTACATTATACTTAATAGGTTTTACCTCTTTATCTCATTGTAGAATTAACGAGACACTCCTCCAAAGCACTTAGTGCATTATATCAGAGTACATATTGAGTAGATCACCTATTTTTTCCTGGATATAAATTACAGAAACTCTAAAGTTGCTAACATTTAAAATCCTTTAAAAAATATTTTGTGCATGGAAAGGTGATATTGTGCTGGAGGAATAACAAGCTTGGTGTCTATTTAAAATGCTGATACTTGATCATTATTAGAATTAAATGAGTTATCTAGCAGATAGGAACCCCTGTTTTACTCTTCCCTGTGGATTATTAAGTGATTTTTTAAAATATTTACTTTTGAGAGAGAGAGACAGAGTGCAAGTGGAGGAGGGACAGAGAGAGAAGGAGATGCATAATCTGAAGCAGGCTTCAGGCTCTGAGCTGTCAGCACAGAGCCTGGCACGGGGCTTGAACTCACAGACTGTGAGATCATGACCTGAGCTGAAGTTGGACACTTAGCCAACTGAGCCACCCAGGTGCCCCACTAAGTGATTTTTTAAACTACTTTAGACCTCAGGTTCCCACTTAGGAAATACAACTCATGAAACCTTGTTACCAACTCAAAGTGAAGCTGGATGTTTTGGTTATTATACATCTTAGTAATTTGAGGTTATTAGTGAAATGTGGGGAAAAAAGGCTGTTAGGGTGGTAAAATAGGACAGGGCCTGTGATTTATTAGAGATCCAATACAGCTTCCTAATTTTAAAATCTTTACCCAAGGAAACGTCTAGTATAAAACAATGGTTTGAACAGTCAATTCAAATGAAAGAATCTGTAGAAGAGGTGAATGTTTATTTCTAGACTGTGTTCTCAAGACTCATTTATTTTTATTTATCTTTATTTTATTTTAATTTAATTTTTTTTATTTTTATTTTTTTACAAATAGTTTATTGTCAAATTAGTTTCCACATAACACTCAGTGCTCATCCCCACAAGTGTCCTCCTCCATGCCCATCACCCCCCTCCCCCCCACATCCATCAGTCCTCAGTTTTTGTCAGCATTCAAGAGAGAGCAGGGGAGGGGCAAAGAGAGGGAGAGATACAATCTTAAGCAGGTTCCATGCTCAGTGCAGAGTCTGATGTCAGGCTCAATCCCACAACCCTGGGATCATGACCTGAGCCAAAATCAAGAGTCGGACACTCAACCAACTGAGCCACCCAGGCACCCAAGTCTCCTATTTCTAAGGGGATTAATGATGAGGTCACGGTAATTTTTCTTCTGAGTAGGGAGTAAGATAATAGGGATTTAATCAATGCCAAAAATGTAATCATTTTTCCCTATTAAGTAACAGTTAACATTTAAATAGCATTTACTAGGTGGTAGACATAATTCTACATGGTATTATTACTGGCTTCCTTTTACAGATGAAGAAACAGGCATGGGTTAAATAACTTATCCAGTGTCACCTGATGGTTTGTGGCAGCGTGGAGAGTTCAACTTCAGTGGTCTGATTCCAGGGTTTGTGCTTTTAATTTTAAAGGGAAGAGAGGCTGGGGAAGTAGCTGGAGCAGTGGGGAAAAACGGGCAGCATTACAGAAGTGGAAGAGGTACAGGAGTCCATAAAGCACACTAACAGGACAAGCGAAAACTTCCAAACCCTTCTCCCTCCAGTCTTCCTGCCACGGGAGAATGCTTTCATAATTGTTGATTGTAGAACTCTGTTTACACACAACAATTTATTGGTAACTGCTAGGGTTGGGAAGAAAAAGGGTCAGGTTGGTATTACATTTGTACTTAAAAGAATGATGATGATTGAAAGGAGAATTACCACGGTGATGACTATAATCTTTCTGAAGTGTTTCCACCATACCCTCCTAAGAATCTTTCTTGTTTTTTGGGACTCTTTGGCCTGAAATAAAAATAACCACAAATTTAATGTTTTCTTTCTGTATCTGGATTAATGGACACACTTCAGTACTTATTAGAGCTATGTAAAAGAAAGATTTAGCTTGGTTTTGAGCAATCCCAAAGAGTCTCATTAAGTCTGAACAGCTTTTATAAAATGATGCACCAAGAGTCCAGGTGCCTTCCTCATTGTGTTCAGCTGTACTTTTATTAACTTTATTAACTCTTTGACCTTGATCAAGTTTATAACTCTTTGAGCCCCGGTTTCCTCATCTTCATTTTACTTAAATGCCACCATCCCTTACAACCCTATTTAAAATTGCTACCCCCATCTCTATCCCAGGAGCTCTATTTTCCTTCGATACATTATTTTTCTCTAAAGTATTTATCTCTTGGGGTGTGTGAGTGGCTCAGCCGGTTAAGCATCTGACTGGCTCGGGTCACGATCTCGCGGTTTGTGAGTTCAAGCCCCACATTGGGCTCTGTGCTAACAGCTCAGAGCCTGGAGCCTGCTTCAGATTCTGTGTCTCCCTCTCTCTCTGCCCTTAACCCACTTGCACTGTCTCTATCTCTCTCAAAAATAAACAAAAAATTTTTAAGAATGTTTGAAGTATTTATCTTTTTTTTTTTTAAATGTTTTTTATTTTTTTTATTTCTAGGAGAGAGAGACAGACAGCGTGAACAGGGGAGGGTCAGAGAGAGAGGGAGTCACAGACTGAAACAGGCTCCAGGCAGCCAGCACAGAGCCCGACGCGGGGCCCGAACCCACGACCTAAGTGAAAGTCGGATGCTTAACCGACTAAGCCACCCAGGCGCCCCTGAAGTATTTATCTCTTATCTAACATTATGTAAATCTTATTTGTTGTGTGTTGAGAATGTAAGCTCCGTGAAGGCAGGGATTTTGGTCTGTCTGTTTCATTCACTGCTGTATTCCCAACCAACAGTGCTTAACATGGAACATTCCTCTACTTTTCTTTAGCACCCGTATATTGCTATTGAGAAATGTGATGCTATTCTAATTGCCAAGTCTTTGTATTTTCTCTCTCTCTGAAAACATTTAAAGTCTCTCTTCCTTTTTAATGTTCTACAATTTCAAGATTACATACTGCCCTGGTATGGTCCTTGTTTTGTTCATTCAGTCTGGAAACTCGTGTTATTTAGTTCTAGGAATTTATTCATGTTATTTAGTTTTACTCTGATTTTCTTTCCTTTGATTTCATTTTCTTTTTCTGAAACTCCTATTGTTCACATGTTGGACCTCTTAGACTGTCTTCCTTATCTTTCCTCTCTTTTTGCTCTTCTTTCTGAGAGAATATCTCAACTTTATATTACAATAGTTCTATTGGATTTAAATTTTTACTATTATTTTAATTTCCAAAAGATTTATTTTGTTCTACTAAGCTTTTATATAGCTTTTCTTTCTTGTTTCAGGGATGTATTACCTTCTATTATTTCTCTGAAGACAGAGAGAAGTTGGGGAGTGGTCACCATATTCAAAGACACAGATACTCAGGATAAAACTTTTTACTTGATCCATCAGATTTTAATATGCTGGACACTCTGGCCTCAACTGCACATGGTGTCTGAATTTAGAGCCTCTCTGGTCTGTTGTCTTTAGATAATAACATTTATTCTCCTTTGTCAGGGGTAAGGAGAGGAAGTGATGTGTCTCTAAAATGTAGGGAAGAGGCTCTTCAGGTAACCTGTTACTTTTAAATACTGTATACTCAGTCTCTTCTTTTGAGACTTATATTGCATGTCTACTTTTACACGTAACATGTATCTCCAATATCTGATCCTTTCCAAAGTTCTATAGCCTGGGTCAGTTTGCATCTTAATGTCTTCTGCTACAAACTTATGTTTTGAGTTCTTTGCTTTACTAAAAAGGTTAAAAAGTACTCATAATCAGTTTTCTAGCTTCCTACATTGTTGACCTCTCTTACCTGTTGTCTTTTCTCTTGTTTTTTATCCTAGTGATTTATACATTAAAATCCTTAATTATTGCTTTACCTATCATTTTATTGAAGTTTTGAGAGTACACCAAGAAAAATGTACCTGTTTAACTTGTCAAATTAAAATCCATGATCCATGTTTATCTCTAGGCAGACTGAGAGAAAGCTTACTGGCCTATGTTTTGTAGAAAAGCCAATTGGGTTTTTTGTTTTTTTTTTAAAAAACCTTATTTATTTTCAGAGAGAGAGAGAGCACTGGCGCGTGCTTGTGCACACAAGCAGAGGAGGGGCAGAGAGGGAGAGAGGGGGCTTGATGTCAATAGCAGTGAGGTCATGAGTTGAGTTGAAATCAAGAGTCGTATGCTTAACTGACTGAGCCACCCAGGCACCCCCTAAACCAGCTTCTTAAGGACATTCAGTAGAGTCTTTTATATAAAGATCAAGGGAAAAGAGAGAGAGATAACTAATTTTGCAAGTCAAAAAATAGAGGTTTTTGTGAGTGATTATGTGGTATCTGTGTGAAAAATATTCTGAGAAAAGCTGTAAAATACTTCAGTCAAATGTGTTTTATTGAGCTGCTTCTACTCAACTGTCCTAAAGAGGAAGTCATTTTTTTTCTGCATGTGATCATGTATGCATAAAAGTGGGATTTGTTTGGAAGGTAAGGCAGTAAAGTGAAATAAAATCTCTTCCTTTTTTGGGCCATATTTTTGGTGGGATTTAGATGTTGCCACTTACCCCATAAAAAGACATAAAATCTAATAAAAAATTAATAGATCTAGCAGCATGGTGGATTAAGTAACCCCATAACCCTCCCGCCACTATTACTACTCAGAAATGCTAGATAAAATATAATAAGCAAACTTAAATTCAGAGCAGAATTGGGAAGAAAGTCAGAGTAAGGCCTGGTGTAGGAACTTAGGCAAGCAGTGAGAAACTACACTTCTGGTGCAGCTCGTCTGTATTTGGGAGGGTGAGGATGTTAGCTTCCTTCATCCAGGGCTTGGGATTTCACTGCCCACGGGCACAGCAAGCTAATCTCTGGGCTCCATGAGGAGAACGATGGAACTATATTGAATTTTCATCCTTCCTGCTAATTAGGCTCAAAACTTTGAAGTCTTCCTTAACTCCCTCTCACTACACATTCAATCTGTCAGCAACTCCAGTTTGTTCCACCTTCAAAATGTATCCAGAATCCAACCACCTCTCACCACCTGTACTGAACTAAATATTTATTTTGTGTTACCTACACTTTAACCACTTTCTTTGCGCTTTAATTTTTTGCTGAAACTTAGATTTTTCCTCAGAGATAATTTTCCAACTACCCAAAATACCTCCTTTAGAATTTCCTTAGTGCAGATGTGGTAAACACAGCCAGCTATTCACTGCAGACTTGAGTATCCCTCTCCGAATGTAGAATTATTGCTGGCAAGAGACTCTCCAATCACAGATCACACTTCTCTGGCTCCTCACCACACCCCGTGCTATTTCCCTCTTTATCTCTTGGCCCATGCAAAGCTGTAAGACTAATTCTTACCAATAGATTGTGAGTAGAAATTATGGTGTCACTTCTGGGCTGAAGTATGCTTCTTCCACTCCTTGTTTAAAATAACCAACTGCCACCTGAAACCGAAAGACTCTAAGGCCCAAGGCAATAGCAGAGCCACAAGATAGAAAAAGCCTGGGTTCCTGGATTACCATGTGAAAGTGTGCCCACGGAAAACCTGTCTTAGATTGTTATGCAACCAAGAAATAAACCTTTATTTAGTTAAACAGTGTTTCTCTAATATTGCAGTTGGTAGTAGGATGAGATGTTGTTATTAAAAGAGCCTAAAACATGTGGCATTGGCTTAACCATCAGGTGGTAGGCAGTGAAGAAACTGGTAGAAGAAAGATAAAGACCTATACTTTTCAGATTAAAATATTTGATAGTTTTATTATTGCCTGTGACAACTTGGAAGGCAAACAAATTGCCTATTGAGTCTTTCACTTTGGAAAAAAATGTTGGAAAACAGAATGGTAATGGTTTGAGTTCTTGTTACTGGCTGCATTTATCAAGGTACCAACTGGCTGGTTTGCAAGAAATGAAAAATGAATAGGGTGAAGAAATGTGGAACATTGAAACATTAGATAAGCTGATGTTTTTATGGTCCAAACAATAGAAAGTAAGATTGAAAAGGTGTTTAATGACAAATGCCCATTAAGATTCTGCCCTTCCTCAATAACTAAAACTCCAAACCTATTTAAAAAATGGGCAAAGGACTTGAATAGACTTTCATCAAAGAAGATCAATAAGTGGGCAATAAGCATGTGAAAAGATGCTCAACATCATTAGTCATTGAGGAAATGCAAATCAAAAGGAGTTGCTAGTTAAAAAAAGGTGTAGAGGTTACTTAAAAATAATTTTTTAAAAAGAATATATATTGGAAAGGATGAAAAAATATAGTCATTATTTATATATGATAAAATTTCTATGTAAAAAAGACAAATCCATAGACAAACAATATTACAACCAAGAGTGCAGTAAGACTTAGTATACAAAGTTAGTATGCAAAAATTGATCGTCTTCCTATTAATCAAAAACAGAGTCTGAAAGAGACCTAGAATGTTCAGAGATGTGAAAACAATATTTTAAAGATGTCAATCCTCCCAACATTAATGTAATTCCAACTAATATCCTAACAATTTTTTGTGTGTGTAACTCAAGATGTAAATTCTGAAATTCACCGAAAGTAAGACTTGCTAACACAATTTTCAAAAAGTAGAAACTATCTTGCACTGTAAGATATTAAGACTTCTTATGAAACCACAGTAACTAAAACAGTATATTACTGGTCCGAGGATAAAGTAGAATAGAATATGTATAGGGAGGGGCACCTGGCTATCTCACTCGAAGGAACACGTGGATCTTAATCTTGGGGTCATGAGTTCAAGCTCCACATTGGGTATGGAGGTTACTTAAATAAGTAAAATTTTTAAAAAGAATAGAGAAGATAGATAGATAGATAGATAGATAGATAGATAGATAGATGTTATATATATATATATATAT